CTGGCTTCATTATACCGCACTGGGTCGTTCGTGAGCTCTTCATGAGGGCAAATATTGAGTAGGGTCAAATCATAAGAACAAGTTGTTCTTAGATTAGGGTTTACACTTCATCATGGTAGGCTTTTCATTTCAACGGGGGTCAGTTTCCCATGTTGTAGAGAGTGGGAGAAGATCAATAAACCACTGCCATAGACTCATGTTTCACGGACATGTGAATCGACACTCCCACAAGGGGGTTAGTGTACCTTGATGGGAACTCAAATCCAGAGGTAGGGACAATCTCTGTCAAAGGAGACGATTTCACTTCTGTGGGTGTGTAAACCAACCTGACATTGGGGAGGAAGCTTAACATTATTCATATAGACACCTATGGGGAGACTACCCCTGCACTATGCTCCTCATCAGGCACTTAGGACCAGGTTTCTACCCAGCCCTTGGAGACCCAGACCATTTGCTATAGACAGCTGGGACTTCAGACTTCTTTCTTCCAAAGGGAACAACATCGTTCAGAGGCAACATTAGAAGGATCCAATTTGGACACCCCAGTAAGAGAAATAGACTTTACCTGAAGCACATGCCTCTAACTAATTAAAGGAACTAAAATACTTCATTGAATTTAAGACTGAAAACACCCTAGTGTAAGAAGAAGCAGATGACCACTTCCCAAGGTTATGGAGCTAGAAGTCACTGGACTATGTATGGTTCAAAGATCTTGCCTTGAGGGTGCCCAATAATTATAAACCTAAGACTACCGTATATTGATTATTTTCATACTTCCATTGCTGTAGTATGGTATGTCCAACAGATAAGATTCTACCTTACTAAATGGGTGTATTGAGATTTTTGTCCTTATCTTCATCATCATTGTTTGCATGCATAATGTCCAGTCCCTTGAGTAACAATCTTTATAAATCAATAATGTATGGATTTTAGTCTAAAAGCTGCCCTATAGATGTATCCTTTGGTTTTCTAAGTAGTATTTTATATTCTACACCATTGGCTCAATATCTATCAATAGATATCCAAAATTATCAGCATGCTATTTTGACTAACAATATAAGTAAAAGATGGGCAAAGAAGAGGCAATAGCCAAATAAATAGTATGATACACCTTTCAAATGAAAAAAGATTAGAAATTTCAAACTAGAAGTGTAAACTCTTTCCCTGACAAGAAAAAGAAAATAAACCTTAGACATTTGTTGGTAGTGTTCCTAAGCTTCAAAAAAATAGAAAAAAAAAGAAGGAAAAATAATGCTATAACTCTCTGTACGAAGAATCTGAAATTAGCATTAAATTTCTCCCTGAGGAAATTGAAAGCCAGAGATGTTTGTTTTATATCAGACTTTCTATTATTTTCCATTGTTCTGTATATATAATTTGCAGAAATATTTACAAAATTTGGGTAGAAAAATACTGGGGAAAAGGAGTATTTTGTGAAAGAAAAAAATGTTGGTAGTTTTGATGTGCCAGATCTCACACTGCATATCTCCCACATTTATATTTCACTCTAATTTTGAATAAGATTGTATTTTCATCCCCCACTCTTAATGAAAGTTAAAAATAAATTTTGCTGTAGAATATAAAATATAAATATATTACAGTTTTCAATATAATGTAACATTTTAAAGGAAATAATATTATGTATAATATTCCAGACATTATTAGGACCCAAACTTTCAAAATTCCAAGATAAAGTCCAGGATTTAGAGGGGAAGCAGAAGGTGTGTTAGTCCAGGTTGGCTAATGACACAAATTCATAGACACTCATGTGTATAAGAAAGAGCTTTATATAAAATAGCAGTTGTATATTGAGAAAATATCCCAGCCCAGTCCAGATTAAGTCCATAAATCCAATATTAGCCCATTTATCTGAAATTAGTCCATAAATTCCCCTTTAGACTCATGCAGCACATGCAATGATGCCCAATGCAGGAAGATCACAGGCCTGGGTAGAAAGTTAGGTGGCTCCAGTGGAGGTGGAAGCATTTCGACACTGGTGCAGGTCTGTCTCAACAGCAAGAAAGGGAAAGCAGAGAGAGTTGATCTGGCCTCCAGTGAGCTGTTTATCTCCTTCAAGCCTCCAAATGAGG